ATGGGCGAAAGGAAGATTACCTTAAATATACACGTCTATGCTCGTATTCAAGACATGTCCTTTATGAAATAATTTGTGAATTCATAAGTGTGGATACTACACATAAGAGAGATTATCTGAGTCTTAGACTGACTTAAGAGGGATCAAATTAATCATAATGAGAAAAGTGTATATCGGTAAATCTAGGACATTAAAGCACGAATTCAATTAAGAATAAATTCAACTTTAGGGTTATTTATGCTAGTCCTTGATAGGATTCCTAGTACGAACACCCAAAATGAAGACATCAAGCCTATGCGATCACAACAAAGCACCTTGCATGAAGAAAGGAAAGAAAAAGAGATAGGATTGACATTATCTTCTCCACCAAGTATGAGTGAGAGATGTTGGGTTATCCACCCTTAGTGGATTAGACCCATATAAAAGCCCAAATTGAGAAATGGAGATTTTGTCACAATTATGAGAAATGTTTGGGTTCAATGTGTAATTTACTCAGGATCTCAAATGTAAGTTTCTCCATTTTTCAACCTTTGAATTTTGAGAGGGAACGTTGAGAAATCGAATTTGCATGTTCCTGTATATCTTCGGTTATGGGTGCAGTTCTCTTGGCTCTAAGTTAACAAACAGAACTCTCTCAGTTTTCCCTGGCTTCTCATCCTCTCTGTGTGTATTTGCTGTAAGTCACGAACTGAGTTCGGTCTGTAACTTCGTTCCCGCATATGGTATAGCATTCGGCTGACACAAAAAGTTTGCTTTGCTCCTTAGATTCTTATACTAAGATTTTCGGTAGTGTTTTGCAGATAATGCGAGGGGAAAAAGGACAGCAATGCAGGAGACTCTGTATAGTAGGCCTTTCAGATTTTCAACATTAGCCTTGCTGATCATATTACTGCTACTAGGTCTTTCAGAAGAATGACTCACAAGTGTAACATTTTTTAATATGAAATCTTACCTGGACATTAATGTGCATTTGACTAGTATATTCCCCTTACTCTGTGTCATGTCGTTTAGTAGATGTTGAGGCTACCTTCATTCTTGTTTTCTCATTCCTACACATATTCAATAGACTACAGTGATTCTGAATGTTGGGTCATGCGGATAATTGTGTCATCAGACGGAGATATTAAATCTGTTCATGATTCTAAATGTTCGATCATCATATCGTTGTTTTCTCATTGCTTATCCATTCCCAATACTAAATTATTTTTCATTACATTTTCTCTCCTTCCATTTTTTTTTCACTCTCAACTTTTTTTTCCATCTAAACGGAAGGTAAAGAACCCAAAAGGTTGGTTTAGTGATTGTGTCATCAGACATGCAGACTACGTGGGCCATTATTGCTTCTACGTTGTGTAGGCTTTTCGGAAGTTGCTCGTTGCCTTCAACCCTTCACGCACACTAGAGTAGGCTGAAAACCAGTATGATATTGTTATTGCTTCAGATTTTCACTTCAAAAAAGAATGTTTAACATTGTTATAAATGAGCTTGTTAGTTATAATAGCAATTTATTTGATTATGAACAACAATGTTAGCTTCTCACTTGTCATTGATCAATCATTGTATTTTTCATGCTTAAGCAATACAAGATTCTCCTGATGTCCTTCCTTCTTTTGTTAAGGATCGAAAACAGATTCTTATAGCTTCATATGATTCAAAAGGAACCGCTCCTGCCCCAAGGAAGGTATGTTTTGAATGTGTTTAGTATTCAATTATTCAATTGTGATTTTTTAGTTGTCCTCTTCAGATTTCTTTAAGAAGTTGATGAATAACTTGAACGGTTGCAGGTAAAATTTGCACCAAAAGCTCCACCTCGTCGAGTGCCAAAGGTAGAAGTTAAAACGTATGTGAGATTCTGTTTTTTAAGCAACACATCTCAATTTAATTACCCTCTTGACTTCTCTGCCTCTAACTGGGTTGTTTATATAGCGAAGTGGTTGATGACGCGGATGCTGTACAGGCCAAGGACTTGCTGCGCCGTTTCTATGTATTTGTATTTCCATTCTCATTATTTTTGTCGATTTAATTTTCTTTTTTCACTTTGATATTCCATGTTGAAAATTTTTGCTTTTCTTACAGGAGAGTTCAATGAGAGCAAAGCCTAAGGTTGAGAAAAAAGGTCTTGTTTGTTACTTCATTCCGTTATGAGATTTTTGATCCATTTTATGCAGTTTCAGTGTATTGAGGTTGAGGATGGTTTTCTGTTCTCAATTTCTTATCACATAAGCCTACGATTAATCCTTCTTTTGGTTCTTGAAACTTCATCATCTAAATAGATTTTATTCTTCTATCCAATCCTCGGAGATATGAATTAGAGATTTATTTTATTTATTTAAAAAGACTGGAATTGGATAAATGGTAAACTGATACATAACTGACTCTGAAAGATCCAGTTTAAATTAGAATCCTTTAGCAAAGCAATTTCTGGGTAGAGTATTCAACAAAGTCAAATTTTGCTACTATATCTATATTTTGTGCATGATATTGTTTTCTTTATATGTGGAATGGCACTAGAAGAATTTACTATCTCAATTGTTTGGAGCATTCTTATGTTAGGTACCTTTGCAGGCTCCGTAGTCCTTACACATCAAAAGTCAAGTTCAAGTCACAAAATCTAAATGCTTTGTGTCTCTGGTTTATTATAGATCAGATCCCTTGTCACTTAAGATATAGAGATTTCAATGAGCTTCACAAGATATAGTTTTCGTCAATGTAGAAGCGGCATTATTCTTTTGTTTTTGTTTTCTAAAATTTCATTGTTCATCTTTTGTTTGCAGTGTCAGCTTCACAAATTGCATTTGGTATTGGAGGTTTCTCGGCTTCGATCAAATCATATGGTGCTACCTGGGGTGCTAGTCATAGGGGCAGTTCTCAGAGTTCAGCCATCAGTGGTATGTTGCCGTCCAAGAAGTCTCTCACACCCCTTCATGGCTATTGGATCCCTACATTGTCTTTGTAATAGGATTCTTCTGTGATGCTTTCAACACAGGTATGAGAGAAAGAATACCAAGAACCATGGGTAAGCGTACTCTGAGTCCTAATTCATCTGTGTGTATGTTTGGAGGCACGTTTGTGCATGCTTGTTCTTCTGAGGTAATGGTTTGATGGATTTTGTTGCAGGACTATTACGGTTATTATCCAGTAACTCTTCCTTTAAGGAGGCTGTATTCAGGAAACCCACCTATATTCGAAGACAAAACTTAGGAAAAAAGATGACAAAAACAATAAAGAAAATTTGCATACCATAGTCATTAAACAATGTCATTGTCTCGAATTATCAGCCGGCTACAGAACTATACATGTTGTAGACTTTTGGTTCGATACATTTCTTGTTAACTGTTAACATGATTTTTGTTTTTCTGCCAGAGTTGAGGATTTATTTCAGTTATTTTGAAGGCTGTTTGCTTTATGCAATGTCAAGCGTCTCTAATTTGTATTGATGTAATAGAACTTCTTGATGAGGAGGAATTTGGGGAGGCTGCAGAATCCTTAACTCATGATGAAAATTCATCAAATCAAGCAAGACTCAATGAGTCTTGGACTATTGGTAAATAATCTAAAATTAGCAATGTTTAGGTCAATTTTTTCATCATAAATCATAATTCTCTGAGCAACTTACTTGTAGGAGGAGAACCCGGAGGCAAGTTTGTTTTTGCTTCGGTTACCACCAACTTTGCCTGTGATTAAACAGTCAGATACTGCTAGAGTCCAAGATGCACCTTCAAGCACTAAACCGCCAGTAGGGGCCAAACATGTGGAAAGGCCGTGTGAGGTGAACGAGTAACCATCTGGACTGTTAGGTAAACTGCTTGTATACAAGAGTGGTGCATCAGATGCTTGAAGTTCAAAACTGTGAATGCTGTACTAATAATATTGCATCAGATGTTCATTCACATGGAAAACCCATAATTGCGTTACTCTTGAAATTCATATCCCGCTCAAGTGAACTGATGTGATCTCTTTGAACTTAATTTTGTGTTTGCTTTTCCCAAATGGTCGCAGGTTTCCTCTGCTGTGGAGTGTGTTTGCCCAAGATGTTGTTGCAGTCAATGCTACTGAGTAGCATTGTTGCACTGTCGGAGAGATCAGCAAGCATGTTACTACAACTCCAGAGGTAGATGCCATATTAGAGAGTGTAGCTGATTTATGATGAATTTAATACGTTTCAAGTACAGTTTGTTCCCTTTTTTTTTTTTGTGGTTGAAGAAATTGTTTGATTTATTCATTTATTCTGGAAAAATGAAGAGAAGAAAGTGATTTTTTTTTTTTTTAAGTTTTCTTTTAGATTGAACAGAAGAAATGAAGTTGCCAAAAGAATCCATGGCATACTACAAAAAAAGGGAAATTAGTTTATTTAATCTCTTTGTGATTCTCACTTTTGAGATTCTTTGTTTCCCTGGATTGCCTCGTGACTTTCTCATCTCAAGCAGCGACTACAATTTATGGATTGAGATCCAAGAGTGGTTTATTATATTTGCTTTTCTCCTCTCTTCCCAAAGGATTTCAAAATTATAACAACAAAATGTTGGTTTTTAACCTCTCTTGATGTTTTCGGGACATTATATTAGAATCTCGCCTCTGCTTTAAATTGCATCTCTAATTTCTTCTGATCTGGGATATGTATCTAATCTTCTAAAACGGAATTGAATCTACCATCTCTATGATTTCGCATTTCCATAATCTCCATCATTTCCATAATTTCCCTACATTATTGTGTCATAATAAAATTCCACAACCCCTTGATAATGTGATGCTTGTAATCCTCAAAACCCTCATTTGAAGTTAATGACTTGTTTAATTCCGAACCTGAAAATATGGACAAAATAACCTTAACGTGGTATAAACATGGTATGGCTATTCGCTTTGTTTTTGTTATCAAGGAATGATGTAGTTTTCTTTTATCAAAGTGAGATTGTTCTCTCTTCTTCCCCTTAACTCCTGAGCCACCTTCATTGGCAATGGTTTCAATTGTTCAATAATAACTTATATGATGCTATCGGTTCTAAACCCAAAACAAAGATCATAAGATGAAAGTCACAATAATTTCATGATCTAGAAGCAAATTTAACCTCCAAATGCAGACATCGATCGGAAGGTAAACAAACATATATTCTTTGTTTAGATACCATGGCCTTATTTACTGAATGAAAATGCACATGCCAGCTTACAACGTGTTAGAGCTGGTGCAATGTGATTTGAGCTCCATGTTGTGGTTGAAGAGTCATAACTGTGTAAGGAGCATGAACGTAAGAAGGAGAGAGCTCCCATGAGAAATGTCGTAAAATATTAGCTAAAGCCATCTTAGCTTCTAGCATGGCAAAATTTTGGCCAATACAAGTCCTTGGTCCCCAACTAAAAGGAAAGAATGCTAACTGATCCTTACTTGCCCTGTAGACTCCCTCAGAGAATCTCTCTGGTTTAAACTCGCCTGCATCATCTCCCCAAATTTCAGGATCATGATTAAGTAGCAAAATAGGCAGTGTAAGATCAACTCCAGCTGGAAGTGTGATGTCTCCTATCTTTGTCTCTTTGTATGTATGTTGATACAAAGCAATCACTGGTGGATATAACCTCAAAACTTCATGAAGTATCATGTTTATCTGCAGAAAGATGATGTTTTTAGAAATGCTTGATGAATAAATGCATCTTTCAAGCCCAATCTAATGCGTTGCAAGTACTTACTATTTTGAAGTTGGCTATGGTTCTGTAGTCCAATTCCTGCTCCTGACCAATTTGTAGGGCCTCCTTCCTTGCCTTTTCTTGCCAATCAGGGTGAATGGCTAGTACTATCATTGTCCATGTTAGCCAACTTGAGGTTGTCTCATGGCCGGCAACATAAAACTGCTTGCACTCCTCTACTACATCTTCCTCTGTCATCTGATCATCACCATTGTTCTCTGTGATTGATTGTAGGAGCTGACCTAGTAAGTCATCATTTCTAGACTGTCCAAGTCTCATTGAATGCTTCTTCCTCTGTATCAAATCTCTTAACATTGATCTGACCTCCCTGTCCAGTTTTTTTCTTCTCTGGTTTTTCTTTGTTGGGATAAACCTAAAGTGATGGCGATGGATTATTTTGAAACTATATCAATTATGAGGGGAAGACAAGAATATCTCCCATTACTCAATATGGTGACTGCTATTAGTGTAAAGTACAAAGAAAAATAAAAGGCAATTCTATCCACTTCTGTCACATTGAGGTAATGATTAATGAGAATGAATATATCAGGAGTATGATCTATAGAAAGCATTTCCATTAGTTGATGAATGACATGTTGACATGAACATGATTCAAGCTTAATTAGCTAGTTTCAGTGAAAATGGAACAGAATAAAGAAAATAGTCAGGAACCTGAATCCAGGAAGGTATAAAGTCTGCATGGCTTCAATAACCAGAATCACGAGCTCTCTGAGAAGTTCGAAAATATGCTTCCCTTCTTCATAGTTGCTACCAAAAGCTGACTCAGAAATAACATCAGCAGTAAACTTTTGAAGCTCAGGCCAGACATCAATGTCACATTTTCCTTCAAGGTTAGTCATGTTCTGCCATCTTTCTATCATACTGCTACAACTGCTGGAGAATACTGGTAACATACCCTTTCAAGAGAAAAACCGGACATTCAAAGACAGTCCTCAAGTCAGGAGAATAGTTTATTTCTTTTAGATTTATTTATGCCAAAGAAGATGATAATCAGTTTTGGTATTATAAAAATGATACCTTCAATCTCTCTAGGTGGAATGCAGGATTAAGAATTCTTCTGCGTCTTGCCCAAGTATAACCCTCTAAAGTTGTCAGTCCCCTGGTTATAATGAGAATGTTTGGATTTAATGGTGGCTTCCCAAAATGACCTCGCTTGTTAGATAACACCTCAATCACCAGCTTTGGATCCTTGATTATCAACCTTGGACTTGTCCCGGACCAAAACATTGATATCTCACCTGCGGAATTTATATTTATATATATATATATAATCATACGGTGACAGCAATGAGATCTGATAATATAGACTCTGTAGAATAAGTTCCAATGCTGTCCATGTCTGCTTCTGGTTTAATTTCTCAGTTTTTTGTTTTTAAACCTTTCGTACAGTTATAGGGGATCTGAGTCATTGCTAAAAGCCAGATCAAGAACTTATGATCATTATGCCCTTCTATCACAATACTTGTGAGATATACATTAATGCTCACACTAATTACAGTTTCTAACCCCATAAAATGAATATGAGGAAACTAAAATGACCAAGTGCCATATAATTCAGGACAAGTTACCATATTTCTGCATATTCTTCAGAGTGAAGGGATCAACTCTGGAAACAATCTTGTGATCTAGTGTCATAGGTTTGGACCAAGCTTCAGTTATCAGCTTCACATATTCTTTCATGTCTCCAATCAGAGGCCTATAAGTGGTACCCATGATTCCTTGTTTCTTTAAGTGCCTCTGTAACAGTTTGGGTTTCCACCAAATGGATTGCAAACCCCTCAGGACCCCATAAAAGAGCAGACCTAGAAAAGCTATCAGTAGTGGAAATAGCACTATGTCATCCATGTTTAGAAGCAAGGTCGTCTGATGGCTCAACAACTCTCATGCCATGAAATTTATACAAGAGAGTTCAATTATGTATCAAATAACTTTATGTAAAGTTTCGGTCAAATGTTGTTTTTTAACGGAAACGTGTCAAACATGAACTTTTTTCAATACAAATTCCATTTGTTCTATAGTCATGCTCCGTTTGTCTTGGAGAAGAAGGCGAAGTGTCTCTAGAAACAATCAATTATAATTTGCAAAGAGGTTGAGGTTCAAGTTTTCTTTTAGTTGCCAGGTGACCAGATTTTAAATTGGAATCTTATCCAAATATATTCAAGTTAAATCAGCCATGGTCAACTTCTGTCCATTAGGATGAATTATTTGTAGCTTGCAAAATATTATTAATGTCACGTCTCAAAAAAGATTACTTGTGCGTGAAGCTCAAGTGTCATATAATACGGAAAGGAAAGAAGGAAGCCATGTAGTATCGTGGAGACGAAATTAAAGACTTTTGACTCGTGTGTGTATGAGTGTGTATGTGTGTGTATAAAGCAACGGAAATTTTTTTAAAATTATTTAGGAAGAGGTGCGTTTTTTCCCCATATGCCTTCAAAAGTTTGATCATTTATCTTTTAAATGCTTGTTTTTTAAAATAATTTAATCAATATCAGTTGCTTCAAGTTATTCAACATGTTTTTTCAAGCAAAGTCTTGAATTCGTGTCTTGTATTGTTACTAGAAAAATGTTATACTCTAGTCATCCAACCAGGCTCTATCTAAATTAATTGATGTGACTTTTAAAAATTGATCAATGCTTAAGAAAATATAAATAAATGATAGAATTATGAAAAATATGATACTATTTTACAGTTCTAAAAAAAAGTTAGGTGAAGTTTTAATATTTTAAAAAAATTATACATTTTTTCAATTATACCCTCATTAAATATCATATATAAGTGTTATAATAATGACAATTAAAATATCAATGTATGATTTTTTTCAAAATAAATAATAAATGAAGTAGAGGTGTAGTTGGAAAATGATTATAAAAATTATCTAATGCTTTATTTTTTGGAACTAGAAATACTTTTAAAAGATGCCTTATATTATAATATGGAGGGAATCATTAAGTTTTTTTTATATGGCTATCTTAAAAAAATTGTACATTTTTCCTATTATACTCTTATTAAATATAATATATAAGTTTTTTAATAATGACAATTGAAATTCCAATGCATCCTTTTTTTGAAAGGAATAATAAATGAAGTAAAGGTGTGTTTGAAAAACAATTATAAAAATTATCTAATGCTCTATATTTTAGACTCAAAAATACTTTTAAAAGATGCTTTATATTATTATGTGGAAGGAGTCATTAATTTTTTTTTATGTAACTATCTGATCATGCCAAATCTAAGTATTATTAAGTTTAATTAGGAATAGTTCGTCAAAAAGCATTTTCTACATTCATAGGAACTCAATTTCAAGATCTTATTCTTAAGTGACCATAACACCTTTTACAAAGACTAGCACTGGTTAGTGTAGGGGGTAATTTTTTTTCGGTATAAACCATCCGATATCTTAGGATATCATGGGTTTATTGCCCGTCCCAAACTAATCTGAATCCCCTACGAGGAGACCTTATAATGATAGCAAGATACTGATAAGACGACCTCTTTGAGGTCACGTTAATTATCGTGTCTATCACTCCCTAAAGTTCAAACCCTCACCTTGAGGAATGTCAGTAAGAGTCCTTACCAACTCTATTGAGCACCCATTGGTTGTAGGGAGTAATTTGATTATAAAGCGTTGGGTTTTTTTTTTTTTTTTACCAGGTTGTTTAGCATTAATTGAAAGAGGTGATTTGTGTGGCCCAAAAAAGGGGGTTGAATTGGATAGAATTGGGTAGCATTGTTGGAACGGGTCAAAGCCTGTAACTTGGTCTCTTTAGGATTTGATAACAACGAGCCCGTTTAGCAGTGGGCCCAAAGCCCCAAACACGTCAAGCACGATCTAGCTGTTCTGCTAACAAATGCACCGCCGGGATTATTTTGCACTGGTTTCATTTTTATAATTTTTATTAAAAATATTTTTTGTAATCGTTTTTTAATTAAAATTTTATTTATAGTCAGAGTGTTTTATTTATGTTCTATATTATGTTTTATTTTAATAATAAAAATTAAATTAAAACTTAACTTTCGTGCGGCTATTCCAAAATGACACAAAATCTTTCTTCAAATTTGCAAATATAAACAACTATGATCCAACTTATTATGATGAACAAAAAATATAAGACTTGTTAGAGGATTTCGCATGCCTAATTTTTGAAATTGAAAAAATATTTTTGTTAAATTTTTTTATAATTATTTTAGGGAGAATTGCACATGTATAGATTGAATATAAAGTAATTAAAATAATTAGTAAATTTTTTACAGGTCTCATCCACGTGTAAATACTAAATTTTAACATGTAAATATAAATATTTGACTTGTAAATGGATTGAAAAAATAATCAATTTATTGAAATGCATTCTTTTAAAATAATATTTATTCATTATTAATTAAAACATTGTCATATACAAAACATTGATGCTTTCAAAAAGTTAGCATATCCATGACGATGCACGTGTTGTACTTCCTGATATGTGTCACATATTTTGCCATCTATGTTAACCATATTTCTATGGAAAAAAAAAAAGGACGATAAAATCTCAATAAATTACATAAATAATAATTTAATCTTTTAAAATGTTATAATTTTATTAAAATTTTTAGATATTTTTATGTAAATAAATTTTAAAATAAAAAGAACATTTTATCTTTATTAAAAATGATAAGTCACAATCACAATTTTTATTTAAAAAATAATAATTTTTATTTTATAAATTAAAAGAGTTGAACACGATATCACAACGTGAAAAGTATAATTTTTATTATTAAAAAATATTTCAATCACAACTTTTATTTAAGAAATAATAATTTTTATTCTTTAAATCACAAGAAATCGTAACTTATAAAGTGTAATTTTTATTTTTAAGTTCTCAAAATAACAAGTCTCAATTATAACTTTTTTTTAAAGAATAACAATTTTTTTTTAAAGAATCATAAGAATTGAATAAGAAATCAAAACTTATCCATAAGGAAAAAAATAGCCTTTTCAATTTAAAACTTATTGACACAAAAGCCTCTAAAAATTTCAATAAAATTATAACATTTTGAGATATCAAATTATCATTTATATAATTTAAGAGATTTTATTATCATTCTCCTCATTTCTTTTCATTAATATATTTCTTTATGCCTTAAAAACTTTTAAAAAAATTAGTTACTTGTTTAAAACCCAAAATACCGATATTTATCCTCTAAAATATTGAAATAACATATGTTTATTTTATTCTAAAATTTTGAAAATTAATATACTTGTCATCATATGTTGTACTCTCTCCAATTTCATTTACAAAACACGCTCTAGAAGATTCATTTAGTTCTATATACAAGTTATAGTTTAACTTTTTAAGTAATATTTAAAATATATTTTCACAATCATCATTCATAAGAGAGAAAATATAATATGATATTACTCTTTAAATTTGTTACATAGGAGTGTTTTTAGAATTTTATATACTTTTATTCCTCAATCCTCTAGTCTTTTTGATAAGTCATTTTTATTAATTTCATCAATATCAATGCAAAAAAAATTTAAAAAATAAAAATGTATAGAATTTTAAATATATCTCTATATACTAAATTTAAAAAGTAATGTCATGTTATTTTTTTATCATGAATGATAATTTTAAAAAAATTAAATATTATTTTAAAAGTTACACTATAATTTATAAATGAGATTAAATTAACTGTTTAAAATGTAATTTATAAATAAAATTAAAAAAAATATTTTTTTGTATTGAGATTAATGAAGTTTATGAAAAGGATATATAAAAAGAATAAGAGGAGTATCATGATGATACATGCACCATTATAGATGTTTCTTTTACGTAACCCAAAAAATACTGCGTGCGATGCTAGCCGAGAAGCCTACACTCTACCCAAGCACACACCCATGAGTGCTGCTAAAATTGTACCAGAAGCCGGGGTAGGTAGGCACAGATAGGACAGAGTGCTAAATTGGCAAAATGCAAAAATCAAACTTCTTCGTAAGGAATGGAACATTCTTTTTTGGGCAATTAATATTTTAGCATTTGAAAATTGCGACTGTTAAGTTCAGTGAACTGTTACACATACTAACTAAATACAGTAAAAGCCTTTGCTATTTCAACCAAAATTGAAACCAATGCATCAACATTTCTTTGCCTACCGGTTTTTCAGACTTCAGAGCAATGCTATTTCAACTCGATTAACTTTTTTTCCCAGACAGTTTTTTTTTTTTTTTGGGTTTTAAAAAAGGTTGAACATGTCATAAAATTAATCAGAAAGAGACAAAATTAGTCTCTTCCTCAGCGTTTGCACTTCGCAGCCACGCTTTACTGGGGTTGGATATTAATAAATATAAAATATTTTTAATTTTTTAAAGTATAATTATTATTTTTTTAAAATTATTTATATTGAATGAATTACTTTATATATATTTTAAAGTAAAATATCCTACTCCCTCTATTTAAAAATGTAAGGTATTTTTTTAAAAGTTGGATGTTAAAAAATGTAAGGTATTTTAAATTTTTTGAGGTGTAATTATTATCATTTTTTTCAAAGTATTCCTATTGATAGTGACTTTATATTTATGATAAAATATTTAATAGAAGTAAATATGAAAAAATAGGGTTAGTTTAAAAATAGATAATTACTTTATTGGAGTAAGATTCAATTAAAAATACCTTATATTTTTTAACAAAAGGAGTATTAAATAAAATAAATAAAAAAAGATGAAATTAGTTTAAATATTTTATTAGAGATAAAATTTAATTAAAAATATTTTATATTTTTTAATATAGAGAGTATGTGATTTTTGTTAAAATATATTATAAATTGAGATAAATAAAGCTTTTTGGTATTGAATGATTAATTGGGTGAAGTGAATGGGGTTTGTGGT